AAAAAAAAAAAAAAAAAAAAGAACTAAGCACTGAGAGGCAACAGCTTGTGGAAGTCTGGGTTCAAGGGTTTTTATTGTCACCTGGCACAGAGGAAGGGATCTGCTACATCAAACATGGGTGAAATTTGTGCGGGAGCCTCAGATTTGAAAATAATATATGGTCTTCACTGAAGTAAAAGAAAGTGTGCACACAGATCAAAGCAATAATGATGCAGGAGAGATACCCCTAATTTTTAACCAAGGATACATATTCATTTACATTTTCGTGCACTATGAGATTAGCATATATGCTCATGGTCTATTTCCATTTTTCTTTATAAGGAAATTATAAATGATGCAAACTTTCACTATGTCTCAGTTATTAACCTCTGGGGAGGGTCTGACTACTTGGCTCACGGCACTACTTGGAGGAATCTACCAAAGTTCTGGATCAGGGAATAAGGAGGCTTGGACAAACACATGGCAATGCAATCTCATGCTTCCTGTGGAATCAATGGCTCGTGTATCTCAGAAAGGCAGATACCATGGCACGTGTTAAAGTTATATTTTTGAGCCCCAGGTTGTATTTTTCTCAATGGATTTTCCCATTATATTTTTCTCTTCTGATTATGGCCGCCTTTAGACTTTGCTCGAAGATGCAGAACGGTGTAGACATAAGATGCAGACGGCTTCCACGCTCATCAGTGGTTTGGCGGGTGAGAAAGAGAGATGGACAGAGCAAAGCAGAGAGTTTGCTGCCCAAACCAAAAGGCTTGTGGGTATGTGAATGAGATTGCATGTCAGCATTGATAGGATGTTAACACGCTTACCCTTTGATCAGAATAAAAATAACTCTTGATTATTTCAGATTCCTGGGCATGTGTGTATCTCCAACCATCTCAGAGGAACCGCATATTGGTCTGGCCTCTACACTATTCTTACTAGCTGTGTTAATATCTATTCCTCTTATCTCAGGTCACTTTGGAATTCTGTAAGTGTATGGGCATATTGATCAAGGTCACTTTTAATGAAGGCTGTATCTTCTGAGACTTTGTATCTCTTAAACTCAGAGTTCATCTTCTTACTTCCAGCTGAGGTGAAATAATGTCATGCTCGACCACTAGCAGCTATTAGTGGTAACTCACAATAAATCTGGCCACTGCTTATTCACCCAGACCCAGCAACAAGTGGTTACAGTTTGCTTTGTGAAATTTTAGTTTAAAAGAATGATTGTCTTATTTATTTTTTATTTTTGTTATGCTGCACAATTATGAGGATGGACATCAAATGTTCCAGTGTTGTTGTCCATTCTCTATTGTAGGGGATGTGCTGTTGGCTACAGCTTTTCTGTCTTACTCTGGTCCGTTTAACCAAGAGTTTCGTGATCTGCTGTTAAACGATTGGAAGAAGGAAATGAAAGCTCGGGAAATTCCATTTGGAAACAATCTAAATCTTGCTGAGATGCTGATCGACGCACCTACTGTTAGTGAATGGACCCTCCAAGGCCTGCCAAACGATGACCTCTCCATTCAGAATGGCATTATTGTCACTAAGGCATCTCGCTATCCTTTGTTAATTGACCCACAGACTCAAGGCAAGATCTGGATTAAAAATAAGGAGAGCCGAAATGAACTCCAGGTAACTTGTGTTTGAGTATGTTTATGTTACTGGTTAAGTTTTATTGTTCCAGTTTAACAAGAAGCCAAGAATAAAGAAATATTTGGAAACATTAGAGAATTTTTATAATCCTAAGTAGAGCAGTAGCAGATGCAAGCTTAAATCTAATATTAAAATCTTTTCTAAAAATTTCATTATTTGCATTTGTGTTGATCTCTACTAATGCCATTTTTCGATACTTTTAGACTCAATTCTGTTAGGCCCTAGGGCTGTTTTTGATAAGCACAGAAAGGTAGAGTTGTATCAACTCAGTGTGCGGCACGCTATGAGAACTTCCTAATTATCCCATTATTGTTTATCATAAAGGTGGTAGAGGCAAGGAAAAAACTGAGTTGGCACACAGAATCTTCACGTGCTTCCCAACAAAAGAAAATGATCTGTTAAAAAATAAATAGAAACAGTTTAAGCTTTCTGCGCCATTTCACAAAGGTAGATTCCAAAGCCAAGGATCCCTAAAATCTACATATAGGTTGAGTTCCCCTTATCCCAAGTGGTTGGGACCAGAAGTGTTTTTAGTTCTTGAATTTTTTCAGATTTTGGAGCATTTGCACTTGTATAATGAAATAACTTGGGGGTGAGACTGACATCTCAATATGAAATTCATGTGTGGTTGGTTTTTTTTTTTTTGGAGACAGAGTCTTACTATATTGCCCTAGGTAGAGTGCCATGGTGTCACAGCTCACAGCAATCTCAACTCTTGGGCTTAAGTGAGTCTCTTGCCTTAGCCTCCCAAATAGCTGGGATTATAAGCACTGGCCACTATTTTTCTGTCATCATTTTTTTTTTTTTCTTGCAGTTTTTGGCTGGAGCCAGGTTTGAACCTGCCACCTCTGGTATATGGGGCAGGCACCCTACTCCTTGAGCCACAGGAACCACCTATTATTGTTGTTTTTTAGCAGGCCCAGACTGGACTCGAAACCACCAGCCCCCATGTGTGTGGCTGGCGCCCTAACCACTGAGCTATGGGTACTGTGCCCGAAATTCATTTATGTTTTATATACATCTTATACACATAGCCTGAAAGTAATTTTATATAATATTTTAATTTTTTTTTGCATAAAACAAAGTTTGTATATAGTGAACCATCAAAAAGTAAAGGTGTCAGACATGGAGTTTTCCACTTGTGACATCATGTCAGTGATCAAAAAGTTTTCGATCTGGGAGTATTTCAGATGTTCAATTTGCATTCGTCTCTCGTGGCCGAATGCTTCAGCACCACTCGATCCCAGTTATCCCTGTGCCTCCCACCTCAGTACTGCCCGTCAATGGAACCTTGTGCCTGTTTCTAGATCACATCTCTAAATCACAAGTACTTTCGAAACCACCTGGAGGATAGCCTTTCTCTTGGAAGGCCCTTGCTTATTGAAGACATTGGGGAGGACCTAGATCCAGCCCTGGATAATGTTTTGGAGAGAAACTTCATTAAAACTGGATCTACCTTTAAGGTAGGTTAAACCTGTTGATAGCAATGTGCAGAGCAATGACCATGAGGCCAGGTTAGCCAGACGGCATCTTCTCAATAGGTAGTGATTCAAATTTGAATCAGCAGTGAGAGGCTTTCATATACTTCCTGAGTTGGGATTAAAGCATTCAAGAGCAATTATTTTAGGAATATCAGCTTCACTTTTGTAATGAAGAGCCTGACTATATTCCGATATTTGACTGTTGATAACTTTCAAGCCTCTCCATGGCTCTTTGCCCTTTCACCCCGTATCTGAGTGAGCTGTTAAGAAAACCTGGGTGCTCCTTCCTTTAGCTCTGGTTGGAAGTTCAAACAATGCAAGCCCTTGTTGAGGCTTCTGTGTGAAGACCCTCTTCCCAGCCTTACCTTCTAACCCCCATAAGACCCTACACTGGCTACCCCTCTTTGCTTTCTCAAGCCAGTTTGGGGACCTGCTTGGAAGGTCCTCCCCAGAAAATCTTATTACGTGAGTAAGAAGGGTGTTTATATCCTTTTGCTGCACATGCAGTGTCATATGTTTTAACCTCCGACTAACATGTAAGATGAAGGTTCCATCTCACTTCTTCAGTGTGGTCACGATTTTGGTGCTAAATTCTGTTTCTTGCATTGTGTGTGTTGACGTTCCTTCTTTCCATCCTCCTTCTCTTTCTCTTCGTTCCAGTTGAAGTCTTCTGAATGATCATTTCTTTCTTTCTTTCTCTCTCTTTTTTTTTTAGTATACACATTATCTCCTGTTACCTAATTGTTTAAAGCAATACTTGATCTGACACAAACAAGGCACGGGAAGGCAATCTCTGTTTTATTATTTTTAATTTTGTTTTTATAAAAAAGGTGAAAGTTGGTGACAAGGAAGTAGATGTTCTGGATGGCTTCAAGCTCTACATCACCACCAAACTGCCCAATCCAGCCTACACCCCGGAAATAAGTGCCCGGACCTCCATCATTGACTTCACTGTCACCATGAAGGGTCTGGAGGACCAGCTCCTGGGGAGAGTCATTCTCACAGAGAAGCAGGTGAGTGAAGTATGGCAACATCCTTTTGTGCATTGATTTGTGATTCACTGATGAAAATAGTATGTAAGAGTTGTACTAGACTGTTAGTTTTTTCCTTTTTATTCTTTAGGTATTTCAGACAAATTCCCAAGTGTCTTCTTTTTACTTAAGGAGTTTGCTTAACTGTTTACTTAACCAGTTACCTATCCATATGTCTCACATACGATTCATAATTTACCTGTCTCATTGATGGCTTTTATACAGACTGATGCTGTAACTTTGAGGACATCAGTCTCATTTTCAGGCTTGTTACTCTTGTTTTAAATCACTTTCTTTTTCTTTCTTTTTTTTTTCCGGAAAATTCCTACAAATTATTTTATTGCATTGAACTTGAAGATACCTCCAGAAAGAGCATAAACTCATCCAATGGCTTCCCGTTGAACTTGAGATAAAATTCAATTCTTGTCTCTGAGAACTGATCCAGGTGTTTCTCTACCTCTGTGGTCCTTTCCTAAATTTGCAGCCCAGCACTGTGGTACCTGAAGTTCACAAATGACAGCCTTCACTCCAGCCACTGAGTGTTTTCATGTGTTGATCCCATTTGGTCTTATAGACCCCATTCCACAGAGCCTTGTGCAGAGCCTGGGACAGAGAGAATGAATGCTTACCAAGGCTGCACTTCATTGTTCTGAAAAGGTTGTTCTACTGTGTATTCTACTCCACTTGACTTATAGGTTTCTACTACATGTGGAAGTTTTCCCTCATTTAGTTAATTATTATGCTTTTAGAAGACAAAGTTTAAACTTGGTGCTCAGATAACAAACATGACTAATTCTTATTTGGGATCTAGGAGAGCTGTGTGCGTGTGGTGGTGGGACCTGAATTGAGAAGATAGACGTTTGTGATACTTGATTCTCCCTGTGCACCTTCTGAAAGCCACTGACTTAAACTCTAGGAGCATAACTCCATGTCTCTTTTCTCTACTTTTATTTTATGGGATAACTTAATGCCCAGTGAAAAATGGCCAAGAGTTTAGAAACTTCCTTTTTCTGAGTCAGCCCTTTTGGTAGGGAACACCCAAGGCTTATGCAAAGAATTGTAGAGGATTTTATTATTATTATTTTTTATTAAATAATAACTGTCTACATTTATGGAGTACAGTGTGCTGATTTGACATACAGGGTAGAAAGCTTACATCAAACTGATTTACATAATCCTCTTATTTAAATGGAGAGGATTTTAATGGGATTGTTATGGTGAAACCAGCTGAACTCTTAACGTTGCTGTTGATTTTCTTCTGGGTCCAATAGAAATGAAGAGTTTAGTTTACCCCATGTCCCCTTCTATGCTGACCTGAAGATTTATTTAGGGTAAAGCCATTGGCAAAATCTTTAGAATCTGTCCCTCCATTAGCTCTCTGTGTTATTCGATGTTTGCTCTGCTGAGTCCTAACATGCATCTATCTCCTTCTCTTCCCCCCTTTCTCTTTCTTTTCCTTTTTAAAAAATCTTCTCTCTTTATTTTTAAATTATAGCACATGAGTCACAGGGTCATAAAGTGGGAAGTTGCATTAGGAGATTTAACCAAGCTTTGTAAATTCATGTGGTTGGTTGACCTCTGTGTGGCAGGTGTGATCCTGTAGTCCCTACCACAGGCTAGCTGCGGAGGTAATGATAGTTCTTCAAAATATGCATTTGCTTAATTTTTAGTCTTGAGTTAAATCTCAATAAAGGTGGATGAAGGGATTTAGCACTGCCATATATGTGCTTTAGGAAGGAGTGGAATTCTTATCAACAGCATATCATGTTGGACAAATGGGAATTCCTGAGAGTCTTGGGCCATTCTCCATCATAGGTATCTTTTGCTTTGCCTTCACCTGTTTGGGGTGACAAGGATTCAGGGAGATAAGGGGATCTGGTGCCAGTTTGGATAACATCCTTGTCCTTAGTTGTTATTTTATTAATCTTTAAAATTTCAAAATATTCAGGGGGTACAAATATTTTCAGTTATACAAACCAATTTTGTAATGGTTGAGTCCTGGCTATGAGTGTGCCCAAAGCCCAAAGAGTGGTCACTCTACTTTTAGGTAGATTTTCACCCATCCCTTCCATCCCCTTCCCTGCTGCTTGATTTGCACTGAATTTTACTTCCCTCTGTGTGTATGTGCTCTTGGGCAGTTCCAATTAAACAGCAAGTACATATGGTGTTTGTTTTCTCATTCTTGAGCTATTTCACTTCACTTAGGACAATGGTCTCCAGTTCCACCCAAATTGTTGCAAAAGGCATTAATTCATCCTTTCTTCGTGGTTGAATAGTGTTCTATGATACTTCATTTTGTTAATCCTCTCATGACTTGTCCTTAGTTTTCTTATATTCGGTTGCACTGAATACAATCTCCTTGGAACAAGTAATTTGACCTGAAATATTTTGGTGTCAATGACAACAATAACAAAAAAACAAACCCAGCACTGAGCCTTAATTGTTGCATCAGTGGTTTAAGATTAAGCAATTAAGCAAAGAGGACTTTCAGTTTGTCTGAAAAGACTTTGAAAAGCCAGTGTGGATCCAGGAATGGGATTTTCCTTCCTTCTAGGAAAAATTGAATGTCTTTAGAAAATTGCTCCTTTATTATCATCTCATTATCAGAATCTATTCCAGGCTCACAATGAACAGTTCTTACCAAATGAATGGCCAAATATGACACTCACTTTTTAAAAATAATAATAAAGGATCATTTTACCTTGGACCATATTATAATACAACACCTAACTTTTATTTATTTTTTTCCTGAATGATGCAAGTAGTAAGCTGCTGGACTTAATATGGATGGGTTTTAAGTAATATACTTTCTCCAGGGGACTTTTCTTCTGTAGCATCTGTTCTTTCCAGCATATTCCTGAATCTGCTCACATCACCGGATCTTCTCAGGCTTCTTAGTGAGTGGGTCCAGGTTGCTTTCTGGTGTTTTTGAGTCACTTTCTAAAATTCATTCACTCAGTTATGTCTGTACCTTATGGACACAGATATATAAGAGTTATATTTCTTATATATATAAGTCCAAATTGTTCCTTTGACTTTAGGAATAGCATGGTTCCTTTGAATGTAATAGCTTCTTGGGTGATTGTAAATATACACTATGAATATAAAATTTGTGTTGAGCCACAGGAGGCTATTGGAAGCTGGGAAGATCTCACAGATAGGAGGTTGTGATGGAAGATGTCTGAGAAATATGGTGCTGAAGAAAAGAGTGAGTCTCTTCAGTCAGGATGAATTATGCCTTCACCAGCCTATCAATTCTTCTAGTGAGAGGAGGTTCTGAACAGTAATTGATCATGTAAGGGAAAGGCCAATTTTTGATTCCATAAATTCACCAGCTGTCCAGTGTCCTGGGAATACAGAGGGACCTTATTATCACACACGAGCTGTTCTCATGAATGCTCAACCATACACCAACTAGGCCCTCAGGTCTGTTTCAGAAATAAATGGGAACCTTAGAGCATCTGAATGCAAGGAAGTAGGTATTTTTTTTTCTTAAAGAAAGAACAAACAGATTTCACACTTTTCTGTGTGCTTTGAAGCAGACATTTTAAATGAGCATGCTGTTCAAGTTCACATCAAGGCCATATTCAGTTGTTTACCTGATGTACCTGTGAGTAGATTTAGACATTCTGCTGTTGTTACCAGAATTTGATATATCCAGACTGTTTTCAACTGGCAGTAAACCAGGTAACTTTATAGAAACCAAATCTCTTAGGCTTACTCTCACCTTGATCTTAGAGAATAATACAGAAACTCAAAGAAAACTATGTCCTGCTCAGAGAGGAATATCAGTATTGATCAACAGCTCCTACCAGTCATACAGTACAAGGTTTAAAAGGTGTATCCTTGCTTGTGATTCTGGTGTTTGGTTTCCTTTTGAGGTAGAAGGACCTGAACTCAGTGAAAGTGTCATGGGAAGTGATTTAATAAAGATACTAAAACACATTGTTATCACCAGCCACTGTTGGTGGAGGAAAAATACATCTTGCTCTGAATTCTCTGGTTTGATCTTTTCTATTTAATTACCCATGTAAGGTATAAAACAGAAATAATCCTTAGTAAAGAAGCCTGAGTGACACCTTAAAAAAATAAGAACTCTAAAAGGATGCCCTTTATTTCCTTTTATAGATTTCAAATACTTGGCTCCAGATTCATTTTTTTAATTATTTTTTATTAAATCATAGCTGTGTATATTAATGCAGTCATGGGGTACAGTGTGCTGGTTTTATATACAATTTGAAATATTTTCATCAAACTGGTTAACATAGCCTTCATGGCATTTTCTTAGCTATTGTGTTAAGACATTTATATTCTACATTTAGAAAGGGTGATTGGTGGGACCACACCTATGGTTCATCTTATAAGGGTACTTGTGAATCTTTCTAAATGCAGATGCATTTTGTATACACCAATAATTGTAGTTTTCATTTCCTTCTTTGTTAAGACCCTTGGATTTTGGTAACTAAGTTGATAAACGGCATGTTCATGAAACTTTACCAAACCACTCATACTTTTCTTTATTCACTTCGGGATGTGTTTTCTCTTCTTTTCTTTTACATGAGCATTATCACAGTCTATATAAAAAATTTAGTATGTAGTACTTACACATACGTGTTTAGCCTTAGTATGTAGAATGCTTAGCACACATGCTTAGTCCTCCGAATGTGTTGTGAGTGTCAGTATCTACCCGCTAAGACATAATCCTTGTGGTGGGCAACAGGCTTATAGACAAAATTATTTTGATTTCTTTGTCCTGTCGTATTAATTTGAAAGATTACTATCTTCTTCTTATGATTTGGTATAACTAAAGTAGTATGATAGCCCAGTAGAAATGTGTTTATATCAACCATCAGTGAAAATTGTCTAAAACCACATCCTCACGTGGGTTTCAGTCTTTTAATCCTGAATGAAAGTCAAATGGCAGCTGTTTTTTTTCTTTCTCAGAAAATATTCCTTTTACCCGTAACTATAGTCCTGTTCTAGTATCTGGCTACCCCCTTTGGTTCAGGAATTGCTTTTGTGATTCCAAATATACTTCAAATTATACTATTTACTTTAGGGCATTTTATTTTCATCAACTTTTAACTTTGAGGAAATGTACTTAGCTCATTTTAATCCTTTGGAAATATAGGCAGTTACTTTAATTGATGAATTTGTTAACAAGGATATTAAATTGACTGCAACTTCTCAACAATATTTAGTCCTTTTACTTACTTTTTTTTAAGAGGGAAGAGAATAATTTGCCTCTTATTATATCATTACTACCAACTTTGCTTATTTTATTAATAATATTTTCATAAGCAACAAGGAGGCATGATTTCAAGTTCAGTTCCATGGTTTTCTCAAATAGAGTTGAGGTTGGAAATGTAGATTATGGCAGGTTTTGCCAACTATGTTGAGAGTGTTGGGCTTTTTAGAGTAGGTAAAGGGGGATCTCTGAGTGAGATGAACAGAAAAGAGGGTGATGGCAGAAGCATGGTGAGCAGGAAGACCCATTATGGTTATGGTTAGGGCAGCCTTGGGTGAGAAGCGAAGCCTCAATTAGGGCAGTGGTTGTGCTTCTGGAAAACATAGCAGAAGATAAAGGTCTTGGGGAGGGTGACGCGACTCGATGCGGCTGTCGGATTTGCCAGCCCAAGCTCTCATGCCCCAGACGCCCGCACCCTTAGCGATTCAGTTTCCTGTCCCTCTTCAGCTACCTCGTTATGCATGTTAATGATAATATGGGCAATTCTAAAGTAGCGTTTATTTTGTGCCAACTTCTAACTTGATTTTTCAAACTATTTATATTCCAAATAAGCATTTATCATGCTTCTGAAAATTTAGCTGGAAGTGCATGAAGAGCAGGGATAGAAGGAAAAGACATTTGAGCAGTTCCCTTCATCCAGCCACTGTCTGCACTGCATTGCCAGGGATGTCCTCACGGGCACTCTCGGATCTGTTTGCAAACAGACAGTAAAACCCTGAGGCTTGGAGGGGGGAGTCGTGCAGCTGAGAGGCCCTGGGGGGTATGATTCAAACATACGTCCTCCTGATGTAAAACCATCACTCTCTCCCCTGCTTTCCATTCTCCCGCTTTCCTGTCTTCAGGCGAGGGTCTTTACGCTGCTCCCTTTCAGGGCCTCCGAAACAGTAATGATAAGTGTGAAATTTATGAGTACAGCAAAAGTTGTTTGAATTTTCTTCTTTAACTTCACTTTTATTTCCCAGTATAACTGTAATGTGAGGGTTTTTAGTATAACGTCTTTTGAAAAAAGATTTGATAGCCGCCATTAAATGTCACGCGTACCCATTTCTCCATTATCTGAAATTTGGAATTCTTATCTAGTGAATACGTGAATTAAGATAACCACGAAGGAGGCTCTCAAATGGAACCAGATAACACATGGAGGCAAAGAGGAGAAGAGGAAGTTTTGCTTAAATTGCTGTGTTTCAAAGAAGTAAGGATTTTAATAGAAATTCCGATATTTTGTTTTTGCTTAAGGAGGGAACTCTTCCTTGATTTTCAAACTACTTATGTCCTCAGAGCTCTCAGTGTGCTCCCAGAGCAGGAGTTGAGAGTCAGGTAGGGTCTACCCCGTGTAACTGGCTAATTAGTGATGATGAACTGACTGGAACATAACGAAGAGGCCAGTGGTCTTTCTTTGCTCTGTGCCTTCATGAGATTTTGTTGCTATAGCTTGGCTCTCGGAGAGTGAAAATTTCCTTGCCTGTATTTCTAACATGGAGGCTTTCCATTTCCATTTCATCATATGTTTCAATTTCTCTGGAACAGATACAGCATTTAATCACGAACTGCACAGTATTAGTTGAGTGCCTGTTATGTACTGGACATTGTTCCAAGAACTGGGGACTATAACAGTGAGCTAAACAGACATAAGAACCACACTATCCCTGAGCGTTACACATAATTCCCTTATATATTATGTAAAAAGGTGGTGAAGACTATGAAAAAAGCATAGTCAGAGGGACAGCTGGGGACTCAGTGGTGGCTGCAGACTTCACAGGACACCAGCCCCAGTGCAGAGGCCCCGAGGCAAGAGAGGTCTGTGTGTGTGTGTGTGTTTAGGGTGGTGGAACTCAAATTTGGTACCTGGGATGGCAGCCCCACATCATCTGGGATTATGTTAGAATTGTACACTCTTGGATTCTATCCCAGGCCTGCTCAGTGAGGCTTCCAGGAGATCCTAATGCCTTCCAGTTTGAAAACCACTGATTTAGGGAATAGCAATATGGCTGGGGCAAAATGAAAGAGAGGAGAATAGTAGGAAATGAGGTTGCAGCAGTAGTGGGAAGGACTGTGGCAGAGCCCCTGGGCCTTAGTAAGAATCTTAGCTTTTACTCTGGGTGGGATGATTGGCCATTGGAGGGTTTTGAGAGAGGAAGTGTGTTCAGTGGCATCATTCTGACTGAAGGGCTGGGACTAGACTATGGGCTGGGTTAGAGATGGATCCTGTCATTTAGAGGGGAGGTGATGATGGGAGCTTGGACCAGGGTGGTGACAGGGGAGGTGTTGAGAATGACTAGATTCTGATTCTAATTTTGGAGTACAGATAATAAAATTTGCTGATAAATTTGTTGTGGGATTTGAGATCAAGGAGGGTTCAAAGGTTTTGCCCAGAGGACCTGGAAGCATGGGGTTGCTGCTTCTGGAAGGTCAGGCAGGTTGAAGGGAGGACCAGAAGTTCAGTTTTGCTGATGCTGCTAAGTAGGACATGTCTCTTAGATGTCTAAATGCAGGTGTTGAAAGTGTGTGTGGGCTGGAGGTGATAAGAGCCGAGATACCAATTTGGGAGTTGTTGGTATTTTGGTAGTGTTTTAAATGAGACATAATGTGTGAAGTACCTATGGAGATAAGTTTCTCAGATGCATAAAAATAAATAATTTTATTTACCATTAAAGGGTCAACTATGACAGTTTTGGCCAGGTATGGCTTCCCCTTTCCCTTGATACTCATGTGTGTTCTGGACCTGAACAAAGGTCAATCACATAGTTAATCACATAATCAATGAGCAATCCCATTATGTGTGAGAGGATTTCATGTGACTCATCACTGTATAACTAGATTTCTGGTTCTCTGCAGAAGGAGTAGAATCTACAAAACCCATTGAATCAATATTCAGAATATCCAGTTGAGTATTTTGCTTTCTGAAGCAGCTCTAGAAATTTAAGCTTGGTACCATATAGGTATCCAGGTAGCAGCACTGAATCACAATCAGAACTGCCAAAAATGCTTTATTTTCTTGTTGATTTTCCTGTTTAATTCACTGACATTTAGCATTCATTTTCCCATATTGTACTTATAATAAGGAATTATACATTATTAACGCAGTTCAACTTAGGTAAATTGTCAATGGAGTCTGTATTTAGAAAGCTTTTCAAGTAAGCTCTCCAATGAATATCTTCTTTTAAAATTTTAAGTGCTATTTACTCAATAACCTTTGCCTTCTTAAATCTTTTCTTTAGCTCTCCAGAATCTCTCACACTTCAAGCTGATGTCCATGTACGGTTTGAGTTGAAACCGGAAGCCTTATTTTCTCTGTGGTACCCTGCCTCTGGGCTTCCTGCCTCCTGGGCTTGCTCAGTGTCACATGAGTCTCTGCTTTCCCCACACTTCCCAGCCCCATCTTCTTTCCTTCTCCTCCTCTGCCTCCCCCTCTCCAAGGTTCCAAAAGGAAGAGACACCCAACAAGATGGCAGCCTTCCAAAGCCTCACTCTTTCAGATACCTATAAAGGTCTTTCGGAGAAGACATAAAACTTTCCTTCTCTTGAAGACAATAGTATTTCTCCAGGCCAAGAAGAATTTTCAATTTAAATTTACCTGCAGTAGCACATGAGGTTGCTTGTCTACGTTTTAGAAAAGTGGTTGTTCACAAAATTGGATACTATTTCAACTAGCAAGTTCTGTCTAACCACATTCAAACAAGAAGCTAAACAGAAGTAAACATATTTAATCAGAGACATATATATTTGTCTTCAAATATACTTGACCTTCAAATGAAGTTCGTGTTTCTAATGTTAGATAAATCACAAAAATCACGTGAAACTGATTTGACTTTAGGCATCTGATAGCTGATGACCAGGATTTTGTGAATATTTTAGCAGGTTTCATGGTGGCTGGCACCTACCCTTCCTTCCTTTGCTAATTCTTCTGTTCCTTTTTTGATGTCTTTATTTCCTGCTGTCAAGGAAATACAGTGCAGGAGCTTGGGAACTGCTGTGTCGGTTAATATTTTAGGAAACATCTAAATAATAGTTGTTAATTAAGGAAGAAAATATATTTATGGAAATTAACAGGAGTTGGAGAAAGAACGAACTCATCTGATGGAGGAGGTAACTGCAAACAAAAGGAGGATGAAGGAACTTGAAGACAGCTTGCTTTACCGCCTGACGAGCACTCAAGGGTCCCTGGTGGAAGACGAGAGTCTCATTGTCGTCCTGAGTAACACAAAAAGGACGGCGGAGGAGGTGACACAGAAGCTAGAAATTTCTGCTGATACAGAAATTCAAATTAACTCAGCCCGGGAGGAATACAGACCTGGTGAGTTTGGTGATGGAGACAGACGTCACAGGCAAATGAGGAGAGAAAGACGTGAGAGTTAGAGAAATGGACGGAAGTCAGGAAATGGTACACGTGAGTGTGCAAAGTGGGGTGGCCACGCGTGTGTTGTGGGAATAGTCAGTAAAATGGAGGTGGAAACATTTTGCAATAGTTTACATTTTCTAGGTGCTTAGAATTTATGTTACTCAACTAATCCTTTAAGGCTCTCATAGACATTTTTTGTTTTTGAGACCGAGTCTCACCCTGTTACCCAGGCTAGAGTGCAGTGGCCTCAGCTTAGCTCACAGCAACCTCAAACTCCTGGGCTTGAGTGATCCTCCTGCTTCAGCCTCCCAAGTAACTGGCACTATAGGCATGTGGGACCAAGCCTGGCTGATTTTTCTATTACTTGGTAGAGACGAGGTCTCACTCTTGCTCAGGCTGGTCTGCAACTCCTGAGCTCAAGGGGTCCTTTTACCTTGGCCTCCCAGAGCACTAGGATTCATACAGGTGTGAGCCACTTCCCCCACCCAGCCTCTCATAGACTGATTTTTAAGTTAGAAAGAGGGAGAATTTTTTAAAAATACCTGACTCCAAAATGGTGACATCTGAGCACTCAAGGGTCCCTGGTGGAAGACTAGAGTCTTGTCCTGAGTAACACAGGACAGCATTTGTAGTTTTGTTTATACTCTCTATATCGAGAATGTAGTTCTGTAGTCCCACAGGGGATCTTTATCCTCAGCCACATACCAACTCGCAAATGATTTCGTACAAGAAACATCCGCTGAAGACTTTTTTGATAATTTATCATTCTTCCTGAAAAAATAATGGAGATAGTGTCATGAATTGGTGGAGAGGCAGGAGCATCATCAGGGTGTGGCTGGTTTTGCAAACCTGTTTTGCAAGGTTAGGGACAGCGCCATCCTGACACTTGAGAATGAGGTGGCTACATTGCTTGCCGAATATTCCTTTGGTTGCCTTTTCTACCTATGATAAAACAGTAAAATATATTGGCAAGGGGTCTAGAGATGCTAAAATGAAAAATACCACTTGATTAACACAAAGAACAGGCTAGTTTTACAAATTTTATAAGTAGGACTTAAATATACTAATAAATGAGCATTGTTCTGGGTCCTACTGCTGGAAGGCAGCAGGGATAAGACATAGAAATAGCAGCTGTTATTTCCTTTTAGACTCTGGGCTGATGCGTTTGCCTGGAGCATTCCTTTCCTCTCTGGTTGCACCTGCAGCCTTGCTCTTTGTCTTTCAGTTGCGACACGGGGCAGCATCCTCTACTTCCTCATTACTGAGATGCGCTTGGTTAATGAGATGTACCAGACTTCGCTGCGCCAGTTTCTGGGTTTGTTTGACCTTTCCTTGTCCAGGTACGTCTGTTCTCAGGAAGCCAAGCTGGATTCTCTATCTGTGAACTGGAATGATGACATCACATTCACAACTTCTGTTTCCTTTGTTAGAGTCTTTTTCTTTTGTTAGTCCAAGATGAGTGTAATTACCAATGTGTTAAAAAGTCATTCTGACTTGTCATTTTGTGTCCAGAGAAAGCTCTATCAACTAGTCATCCATTAATTTGATTGCTTTGGCTTCATGTATTTCCATTAAACAAGAAAATCCCCAAGATAATGTTGTGAGTGATATCACCCTGCAGGTAAAATTGATTTAGACAACACTGAGGGTTGTGTTATATTATTTCATGTTGAGAAAACGCTTGTTATTTTAGATTTAGGAGGCTTACTCTTGATGTGTAAAAATATGAATTGGTCCCCCAAAGTTGCTTATTTTCTGTTAAAGATGCCATTTTTATAGACAATTGAAAAGGGCAGTGGGATAAGCCTGATGTAAATGTTCTCTTCCCTAGGTCTGTCAAGAGCCCAATTACAAGCAAAAGGATTGCTAATATCATTGAGCATATGACGTATGAGGTTTATAAGTATGCTGTCCGAGGTTTGTACGAAGAGCACAAATTCCTGTTCACCTTGCTGCTTACTCTAAAGATCGACATCCAGAGGAACCGAGTGAAGCATGAAGAGTTTCTCACTCTTATTAAAGGTCAGTGTAACAGTAGGAAGTATTATACACAGGTGAAGGTGCAGGAATTATTGTGGAGGCCCTGGGCAACACTTTTGTTGGTTATAATAATTTTTTTTCTTACATTTAAGATTGTGTTTATATGAGATATTTCATTTGCTCATTTATTGAATGAATATTGAATGTTTACTGAGGACTTAGTGGGTATCAAGGCATTGAATAGGTATTTGGTACAAGCCAGTGAAAAAAACTTTTTGTTAAGCATATGTATAGTGTGTGTGTGTGTGTGCGCGCGTGTGTGTCTGCATTAGAATTTCTATAAATTCTTACTTCTTTGAGATGTAGTAACTGAAACAGAACCGGCTGTTACCATCTTTGCTTCCATCTATTATCTGGTTATATTTGAAAAATTCCTTAGTGGATAGCTTAATTAATTTGTTCACTAGATAAGAATTGCAAATTTCAGAAAATGTAGAAATTAGTATAAGTGACATTTAATGGCAGCCATCACATCTTTTTTCAGAAATTATAATAAAACCCCTCATATTATGGTTGCACTGGGAAATAAAAGTGATGTTAAATGAAGAAAATTCAAACAAATTTTGCTAGGTTCATAAATTTCATGCATTTATCACTATTATTTCTGAGGCCCCCAAGGTGAGCATTGTAAAGGTCCTTGTCATCCAGACCTCAATTCAATCAGGGATATAAAACTCCTGAACAGTTGAATAGCAAACAGTGAGATCGAAGCAATAATAAAAAATCTTCCAGCAACAGCAAAGAGAGCCCCAACTAGATGAGTTCACAGCCAAATTCTACCAGATCTATAGAGAAGAACTGATACCCATACTGAAGAAATTGTTCTATAATACTGAGAAGGAGGGATTTCTCCCCACCTTATTTTGTGAAGCCAGTATCATCTTGATACCAGTGTCAGGAAAATAAACCACCACCACCACCACAACAACAACAATAAAAAAGAAAACTACTGAACTACTGACCAATATCTTTTTTTTCTTTTGCAGTTTTTGGCTGGGGCCGGGTTTGAACCTGTGACCTCTGGCATATGGGACCAGTACCCTACTCCTATGAGCCACAGGTGCTGCCCCCTGACCAATATCTTCTATGAATATAGATACAAAAATCCTCAATAAAATACTATCCAACTGAATTGAGCAGCACATAAAAAAATAACCTGCTAGGACCAAGTGGGCCCTATCCCAGGGATGCAAGGATGGTTTAACATACATAAATCAATAAAGGTGATTCACCATGTGAACAGAAGCAAAACCAAAAACCATATGACTGTCTCGATACATGCAGAAAAAGAATTTGACACAGCCCGGGAAATGCTCAGGGAGCAACCCCCAACCACTCTCCTCCTTTAACACCATTCTTTTCACCTATCAAAAGTCATGTAGCCCATGCATATTTTCCTTGTTATCCACAAGTGCCCAGTTTTTCCTCTTTAAGGTTGATCTCTACCCTGTGTGCTAAGATTTACCCATCTTTGTTAAGACACTGTATAAAGAAGGCTGTTTCCACAGTTCAGGTGCTGGCCGCAGCCATCAGTTGCGTCAGTCCTCCTGACCCCATCCTCTCTCTCATCTCGTGTGTATTTTGTTCTTGTGTGTGTCCCTCTTCTTCATTTCCCACTTTTCCGCTCAGGTCAACTCTCTATCCTTGCACCACATCATGAGAGGTCCCTCTCTTACGCTGGTAAGAAACAAAAAACCCTCAAAGAAGTAGGTACAAAAGGCATAGAAAACATCTTAAAATAATAAAAACCACATTTGAATAACCCACAGCCAACGTCATGCTGAATAAGGAAAAGTTGAAAACATTCCTTCTAAGAACTGGAATGAGACAAGGGCTCCCACTGTCACAGTTTCTATTCAACATAGTGCTCCAAGTGCTAGCCAGAGAAATCAGGCAAGCGCAAGAAATAAAGGGTATCTAAATAGGAAAGAAGAGTTCAAACTCTCACTCTTTGCTGATGACATGATCTGGTACCTAGAAAATCCTAAAGACTCCAAAGAGATCCCTGGAATTGATACATAACTTCAGCTAAGTTTCAGAAAGTAAAATCAATGTGTACTAATTAGTAGCATTTCTACATGTCAAGCAGAGAGTCAAATCAAAGGCTCAATACCATTCATGATAGCTACAAAAGAAATAAAATGCCTAGGAATATACTTCACCAGGGAGGTGAAAACTGAACTATGAAACGCTGAGGAAAGAAATCACAGGGGACACAGATGCTTATGTATTGGCAGAACCAACGTTGTTAAAATGTCCATATTACTCACAGTGATTTAGAGATGCATTGCAATCCCTATCAAAATACCAACATCATACTTCATAGTTCTAGGACAAATAATTCTAGGCTTCATTTAGAACCAGAAAAGAGCTCATATAGGCAAAGCAAACTCTAGCAAAAAGAACAAATCTGGAAACATCATATTACTAGACTTCAAACTATACTACAAGGCTATTGTAACCAAAACAGCATCATATTGGTATAAAAATAAAGACATAGACCAATGGAACAAAATAGAGAATATATAAAACCAGATACAAAACCACCTTATCAAAGCCAACTAATCTTTGACAAAACAGACAACAATATACACTGTGGAAACCAAGCCCTGTTATATGTATACAGGGTGCTGGGAAAGTTGGATAGTCACATGCAAAAGAATAAAATTAGATGATTTTTTCTCACTGTTCACAAAAATTAATTCAAGAGGGATAAAGGACTTGAATGCAAGACATGAAACTATAAGAATTCTAGAGGAATTCTAGAGGAAAATGTACAAAAAACTTTTCTAGGTATTGGCCTAAGCAAAGAATTCATGAAGAAGACCCCAAAGGTCAGCAAGAACAAAAACAAATAAATAGCGTTTGAGCAAAAAAAAAAAAAAGTCCAAAACAATAGATGCTGGCAGGGATGTTGAGAAAAGGGTATGCTTATACACCGTTGGTGGGACTGCAAATTTGTACAACCTTTATGGAACCTATAGACCTGCCATTGGATCCAGCAATTCCACTACTGGGTATCTATCCAAAGGAAAAAAAGTCTTTCTTCTATTTTTTTTTGCCTAAGGTAGACTGTCATGGCATCATAGCTCACAGCAACCTCCAACTCTTGGGCTCAAGTGATCCTCTTGCCTCAAGTTGTTGCCTTGGGTAGACTGCCTTGGTGTCATAGCTCACGGCAACCTCCAACTCTTCGGCTCAAGTGATTTCTTGCCTCAGTTTTTCTATTTTTAGTAGAGATAGAGTCTCATTTTTTTCTCAGGCTGGTCTCAAAGCAATCCACCTATCTTGGCCTCCCAGAATGCTAGAATTACAGGCGTCTTCCACCACATCTGGCCATGGAAGAGAAGTCTTTCTGCCAAAAAGACACCTGAGCTTAAATGTTTATTGCAGCATGATTCATAATTTGAATGATGTAATCAACTCACATGTTCATCATTTCATGAGTAAATTAATAAAATAACATATATGTACCCATGGAGTACTAAGCCATAAAAGGAGGAATTAATGCCTTTTGCAATGATTTGGGTGGAAATAGAGGCCATTCTAAGTAAAGTATCTCAAGAATGGAAAAACAAACACCACATGTAATCACTATTGAATTGGAACTAACTGATAAGCACAGATGTCCATGGTAGGAAGGAAAACTTGCTGGAAATCAAGCAGAGAGAAGGGGAGAATAGGGGAGGGACAAAAATCTATCTAATGGGGGTAATGGACATTATTTGGGTGATGGGCACACCTATGGCTGTGACTCAAGCACACAAAAGTGATCTATCTGTGTAATCAAAAACGTTTGTACCTCTCAATATTTCAGAAAAAAAATCTTGGCTTTGCCACTTTCTTGATGTTCCTGAGAAAGTCATTTACCCTTTTAAAACTTCAATTTCCTCATCTATAAAATAAAGATAGTAAACTCTACGTAATAGGGTTTTTGAGAATTCACACAATTGGTGTAAATATTGGTCCACAGAATATGCTCAGCTAATGGTAGGCATTGTTATGTTATCTTCAGTATTTTCATTTATTTTGATTGGTCTGATGTTTGTTTTAGGTTGGACAGGTTTTTATGGGTCTTTGGTATTCAACACTGCTTTATGAAGCAAAGTTACAGAGTATTCTTCTGAATATGAATATGTTTGAAATCTATCCTTTAATATGCATAGTTAGATTGAGAGCTACCTGATAATGTAAACTCTATTTGTAAGCTCCTTCATATCATTTAATATAACTTAAAATGTTATTAGGATAGTGCTATCGTCTAAATGTTTGTATCTCCCCAAAATTCATATGTTGAAATTCTAACCCCCAAGGTGATGATATTAGAAGGTGGAGCCTTTGGGAAGTGATGAGGTCATGAAAGCAAAGTCATAATCGAAGGGATTAATGCCCTTTTGAAAGAGGGTCAAGAATGATCCCCATCCCTTTCCACTGCTCACCCCTTGTGAGGTTGCAGTCAGAACATGGCCATCTACAGACCAGGAAGTGGGCCCTCCCCAGACGCTGACTCTGTCAGCACTTTGACCTTGAACTTCTCATGCTCCAAAACTGTGATAAATAACTTTCTTTAGTTTATAAGGTGAGTGGTTATAAAAAAACACACAGAATATGATGTTTTCCTCATATCTGGGTTGGGAAATGATCAGCCAAGATGACTTGCTAAGTCTGCCTTAGCTCTGACTCTTTATGGCTGTGTGGTATAACTTTATAGAGCTTGCCTTATAAGCATGTATCATTTTTACAAAGTATTATGGTAAACACCTAAATTTAGTTTTTTTCCTTTCAAAGCAATAGTTTGAAGAAAGAAGGGAATGGAATAATTCTCAATCATCTTGAGAATTTATTTTGAAATATTCCTTTCTCAGCTGTTTTATTCAGCAGGAATCTAATTAGTCTGGTACCACATTATTCAGAAATATGTCCCTTTCCTCAGATTACAATCCTCCTTTGTGCCCCATTATAAACTTTTGGAGTAGGCAGGATATTCGTGACATAGTTATAATGCACTAAGCAATGAATAATGCTTTAACCAGAAAGGAATCCTCATTCCTTCTGTGGATGGCCTTTTCCCTCATCCTTTTCAGTTTGTTGGAAAATGGATGTTGCCATGGAAATTGGTGCAGCATTTGTTCTATACAGTGCCATTGTCTTTAGGTCTTTAACTACTGTCTAGCGTAAAACAATCTATTTTTATTTTATGAGCATTTCCACTGAATTGGCTTCAGGGCCACACTTACCTTGTTGTTATAAGTATACTAAGATGGATTTGTCCAAAGATAACAATTTAGTGCTTTATATGGTGCCTGGATAAAATAGAGATTGATTTGATAAATATCTTGAGTGTTATTCATTTATAACCTACTATGTTAAAACAGTAATTTTAAAGATTGATTATATCCTTTTATGAATAATACTTAGAGCATATTTTCTTTGAAATTATTTAATGGATGTTATTTATTAGACTGTGTATTATATACTATAGGAGATTTCCTAACTGTTGAAATATGATTGTTTGCACATTCAGTTTTCCTGAAGTGGGCAACAATAACACTTTTAAGGTGTCATTTATCTTATTGTGCTGTATGCATTATATAAGTTACACAAGCTTAGGTAAATCATTAGCAAAAAGATGGGAACCAGTATTAAAAGGGAGTGTTCAGACAGCTTGAGACTCTGTCTTAAAAAAAAAAAAAAAGAGTAAATAAAAGGGAGTGTCCATTGTCACTGGATTGACTAAACCTAAGTGATAGAGCACAGAGCCCTGGAAGTATGCTCAAGATGGATGTAAATAATACACTGATTTACAGTGAGAATCCTTCCAACAAATATAGCGCCAATGACATTTCTAGATAAATTCCTAATTTCAAATGAGCTTTGAGCCACACTGAGCAGTTCTTAATATAGACAGGAGGGCTCATTTAGCGACCCTCTACCTTGTCGTCAATCCCTTCTGTGTGCTTTACACATACACATCACAAGACCAGGCTTTATTATTCCCAGTTTACATATTTGGAAATAGAGACAGATAAAACGCCTTGTTCCAGACCTTGGTCAGGTGGTAGTAGGGCAGAGTTTGGCACCTGCCTAGTTCCAAAATTGTATTACTGACTATTAAATGTGTTTTACTAAAATCATCCATTCAGTTATTAAATTTTAGAGCATGGTCTTTACTACAATTTTTATTTATGTGAAATTTAAAATAGTTTAATAATTTTAACTAAATAGATTGGTTTACAGTAAAGAAAGAAAAATCTTATACTTTTAATTTCAAAGGTGGTGCCTCTTTGGACCTGAAATCCTGTCCTCCCAAACCATTTAAATGGATCCTTGACGTGACTTGGCTGAATTTGGTGGAACTGAGCAAACTCAGGCAGTTTTCAGATGTTCTTGATCAGGTAACTTAATAACTTAAACACATGTCATGTTGAGCGGCGGTCTGATTTATCATTAGAAGAGATTTATCCATTCTTAATGCTGTCGCTTAAAATAGTAGTATTTGTCCTTGGCCTCCCTTAAAGTTCCCACACTCTAAAAAGCATTCTTCTGCTTGTTATGGACTGGTCTAGCAGAAACTTCCTGGGCCAGAAGTCAATGTCATCAATGGGAGATCTACAAATAGAAAAACAAATCGATTCAAGTAGATTAAATAACTAGAAGAAGCATTTTACTAATAGATGGGTTTATAGAAGGCCTTCTTTCTAGAGATAAAATGAAAAGGAAAATGAACAGCTGGCCTCTGAAGGCTAAATTCTCTTTCTTGCCTCCTGTTTCTTTCCCTCTTTTTCTTTTCTCTGCTCTTCTCACTTTACAGACTTAGGCATCCAGGTGTGGCTCCCATTCACGCCCCAGGCCTCTTCTCTTTAGAACTTACCGTCCTTCCAGAGTCAGCCAGCTCCTGATGAGTGCTGTATGTGTTGGAATCATAGAAGCTGAGAATAGAGGGTTGAATTCGAACAAGCCAGGAAATAGGTTCTTGAAAGTCAGGTGCCCATGTAACCATATAGAAGTGAGACTGGCAATCAGGTAGCTTTATTAGTTATATATTGAAGACTTTTTTTTTTTTTTTTTGTTCTTTGACCAGGAAGTGTCTTCAAGTTGGTTTTTGACTTTCCCAGTTTAAGTTGACCAGATGCTTAGGTTCAGCTATAGTTGTGTGTTTTAGCTTATGATTGGGGATGTTTGTTATTATTACCATGTACTTTAGGTATGAACAATTCTTTTGACTTAAACAACTTTTTTTTTTCTTTTTGTTGAAACAAAGTCTTATTTTATTGCCCTGGGTAGAGTGCCATGGCATCATAGCAACCTCAAACTCTTGGATTCAAGCAATCCTCTTGCCTCAGCGTCCTGAAAAGCTGGGACCACAGGCACCCTCTACATCAGCCGGCTGTTTTTTCTATTTTTAGGAGAGATGGGGTCTCACTTTTGCTCAGGCTGGTCTTGAACTCCTGAGCTCAAGTGATCCATCCAGACTGCTAGGATTACAGATGTGAGCCACTGTGTCTGGCCAACAACTTTGTTTTTAAAGTTGTTAATGTGCTTTAGTTTATCCCCCATGGAGGAATCCTTAGTGATCTCGACTGGACCATTATCCTTTGTTCTAACCTTCTGGACATTATGTCTTATGCCTGAAATCCTTCCATATGAAGGATTCTTTATTATTGAAAGAGGTTATTATTTTATATTCCTAATTTATATTCTCTAAATATGAACCTGAAATGATTTTTCTTTGATTAGAATCCCCCCACAAATAGAATTGAGGCTTTAGTCAAATGGGAAATACCAGAGAACATGAGGTTATATTTATCTGTAGTTGTTATTTGTCTGTTCAACATTTTTGACATGCTTGTTTATGTAATGGCCTTTCTTTGGCTTTTTGAGCTCCAGAGGATAATGCACCGTGTCCTTTTATTCTTTACTGATTGCCTAAAGGTAGTAGGTATCTGATCATCCATTTGATGATACTAAATGTTATGTCAAATTACTCTGGATTAATAGAGTATTGACCAAAAGTCTTTTCCTTCAATAATAAAGATGTATTAAATATCTTCCTTTATGTGAGGAATGATTCTGGGAAATGAAGAAACATAAGTGAGTGAGACTTGGCTCTTGACAGGAGAAGATTTGGTAAAGCAATTTACAACTTGCTTGAAATATTGAAAATGAGTTTGCATTGATTTCTTTATTCTTTACACATTTGTTGCCACACACATAAAGAAGAAATTAAACTCCCCAGGACTCTCCCTACTTTGAAAACTGGCTTTAGGTGTGGATTTAATATAGACTGATTTTAAAGAAAATCATATTTGATTTTAGACTATCACACTTTTTGGCACTGGAACATAAAATAAAATGAATAGTCAAGGAATATAATTCACACATGCCTGGAATGATCAGAAGGTTTAATGAAAGATATCTGTGAACTATTACGAAAAAATTTTTGCCTGGTGTGACAAATTTCTTATCTCATGATATTTTCAGATATCAAGAAATGAGAAAATGTGGAAAATTTGGTTTGATAAGGAAAACCCTGAGGAGGAACCTCTTCCAAACTCCTATGACAAATCTCTTGACTGCTTCAAACGTCTTCTCCTCATCAGGTCCTGGTGTCCTGACAGAACCATTGCCCAGGTAAAGAGTAGATGTTTACGAGAAAAATAGGAGAATATATGTACTCTGTGCATGTGTGTGTTCTAGACAGGGTCTTGCTCTGTTGCCTGGGCTAGAGTGCAGTGGCGTTATCATAGATCACCATGACCTCAAACCTCTGAGCTCAAGCTGTCCTCCTGCCTTAGCTTCCCAGGTAGCTGCGACTACAGGAGCATGCCACCATACCTGGCTAATTTTTCTTTGTTGTTGTTATAGAGACAGTGTCTGACGATGTTGTGCAGGCTAGTTTTGAAGTCCTGGCCTTAAGCAGTTCTCCCCCATTGGCTTCTTAAAATGCTAAGATTATAGGGATGAGCCTTTGTGGCCAGCCAAGAGCATATTTTAAAGGAAGCTTTTCTTTTAATACAAAAAATGTTAATTTCAATGAGAATTTTCTTGCAAGCCTCTATGTAATTTTCTAGCAATTCAAATGTGAAAAATGGAAAGGCAAGCAACAAGTAAATGCCTGAGGCGCATTATTAACCTTCTTTGTTCCACGTGGTCCAGTTAAGAGTAGATGAGAAACCCTGATTCTCAGGTTGTCATACAGGTGTACCATAAGGAAATGCATTATTCTTCTATATTATCTTATATTAATTTAAATCTTATATGTCTGATCCATTTTGCTTGTAGTAAAATAATTTTTCTCTTAGCAGAGAGAATGTAAAAGCATTAGGGTAGAGGATAGACCGGAGGGAAGGACAGCACGCCCATCCCAGGAAAATGTCACAACCCTACATGTAAGGAAGTAGGTTTTAGATGTAAGTAGGCTGTCCTAAAGCTGAATTTTACTCATGGCTTAAATGTGGATCCCACCTTCAGAAAATTCACCTTTTCAAAGGCCTTTAATCTGCTAGCCTAGTATCATGGAAGTTTACCGACTAGAAAGACCTGTGTGTTTCCTTCACAATTAAAAGCTGAATTCAGTATTTAGCACAGGTGGACTCCTCATGGACTTTCCACAGAAGCCCTGGAGGCACCCCTGGCTGGGGTTTATAATGGAATACGAGGTGTTTTCCTCTTCACTGTCCAGAGGGGGACTTAAAATCTTATGGAGTACCACCTCCACATCCTCTCCGGTACTATGGAGTCATGAAAGCAACTGTGTTTTGATGATTTATTGAGAAAGGAGAAATGAGTTTTGCAATTCAGGGCACTGAAATCCCCTTTCCTTTCATTTTTCCTTATCACCTTTTGTTATTTTTATCCTGCCCAAATGAATTTTCAAACAGTTGGCTTATGTAAGGGCAGTGGGGAAGGTTTGAGTAGTTTCCTTCTTTCTTTTTTTTTTTTTTCCCAGAAAACTTTCTGTAGTTCAATGCTGAAAGATAAACATTCAACCCCACTTCGGCCGTCTCTAGGCTCACCACGGCCATGGCCTCCTAACGGGTTGCCTTTTATTCCTTCTTGCCCATTGCCGCCTGTCCTGTACACGCTAGAAGAGTTGGGAAGATCAAGCTGTTCCTCTACTTTGCAAGCCCTGCCATGGCCCTTTCGGTAGCACTGAAGTCCCATATAATATTTAGAAGTTTCCTTTGGGAAAAAAAACGTTCTTTTCCCTGTCCTTTTAGTTTCCTTTTGTGATTTTCAACCAGACTGTGTTTGGGGACTTATGTGGGACTGTCTGCAACATGCACACGTCAGTCTCCCTTCCCCACAAGCAGCATCAGCCTCTGCCTGTTCTGTGACCGTGGTTGAGAGTAACCGTCTCCATCCAGGGCGCCTGGTTGCAGAAATGCCGTGCTCTCAGGGGGTGTCTCTTGCTTTATCCACATTTGTGTCCCAAAAATACTCAACGAAGGGAGGTCAGCACAGGCAAGGGGGGTTATATGTTTATTTTTCCTCTACTCAGAGGTTGAGTCTATTTTATTGGTACCATGTATTGGGACAAAAAAGGTTCTTCAGAGTTGAGCGAAGAGTGCAATTGTGATGTTCTATTTCTGTTCATGCCAAGGAGGTGTTGGCTTTCTTGCTGGCCCACCCCTGAATCAGTTCTTGTGTGAGCTATTCTGGACTTCCTTCTGACCCCAGCTGGTCACTTACTCTGTTTTGCCTCATGGTCTCTGTATCTGTGCCTTCTGCATGGGACACTCAACGCTCAGACCCACCTAGCTGTCCAGTTTGTCAAGATAAGTCCCACTCTGTCATCCAGGCTGCACCTTGTTGCTCTGACATATTCATAAGGGAGCCTTCTCTGACATATTCCTGCAAGACTGATCAGTATGACAGTTTCTATCACCTTACAAGTCATGAATCCTCAAAACTAGTTTACTTGCTATGACTGGCTCAATGTAGGTCTCATCTTTGGGTATAGGAGCAAGTATCCTAAGGTCACATGTTTACTGCTCTTCCCTAAAACCTGTTGCATTACCTGTGACAGATGGGGAGGAGGTCTTGGGCCCAAGATACTTTTTCCTTTTTTTTTTTTTCAGGAGAATTCTCTGGGTTGTGGAGACCTAGTAAGACCTCCTGCTTGCCCAGTGAGATAATACAAGGTGTCGGATTGAAATGGAAGTAAAGAAGATAAGAAATGCACTCTTTCCAGCACGCATATGTGTGTTTCTGGAATTGCCACATCTCCTTCCTAACGTATATGTGCACCGTAAACTTATTACAGCCTTAGACTTGAGGCCACTTTGAACCATAGCTGTGACCCCATTTGAGAATATCCCTTTTCCAGAAACATCTCCTTTCTGGGTGAAATTCAGTCACAATTTCCATTATAAATAAAGCAGCCTTCCCCATTTTTTATTCTAGGGGTTTGGTAAACTAATGCTTGATAACAAAATTTAGCTCCCTGCCTTTTTAAATTCAGCTGGTAAGAGTGGTTTTTGTGTTCTTAAATGCCTGAAAATAATCACCAGAAGAAGAATATTTTGTGACATGTGAAAATTATGTAACATTCAAATTTCAGTCTATAGAGTTTCGTTGGAACAAAGTCATGTATTGTCTATAGCTGCCTTCTGCTCCAATGGCAGAGTTGAGTAGTTGCCACAGAGATCATTTAGCCAGCAAATCCTATAAGAGTTACCCTCTGAACCCTTAGTATTCTGCTGTGGCTTGGATGGTAACGTCTGTCTAGGGTCTGAGCTGAGTTGCATAGCAGTACCAGTCGTGTTGAGCTCCTCACTGGGGTAGAAGCCCCTTTAGTCCTGATGAGCACACGACAGAGATGCTGCAGTGATGGCAGGTGACTGTGGCTATGAAGCAGCCACAAGTGTGCAACGCCACAGTACTCAGCCTCTGACGCCCATCCTGATCACAGAGCTCACTTCCTCAGTGATGGTGACTGAATGTGGATTTAGAGAAGACTTTTGGAAATCAAAGGATGTGTCAGGCAGACTCTTTAAACACCTGCCAGAAATCTGCAGGAAAATGTGAGGGGCATTTTTATCCAGGCTAGAGACTTTGATACTGGGTCTGGCCAACCTACAACAAACACCGCAAGGTACACAGTGAAATAGCATGTCGTGCCCCAAAGTCAACTGGGCTGAACTCCACTCCTCAGCGCTCCTCCCACCACTGAGAGCAGGAAAGGAGAGGAAGGTTGGAATGTGCAGCCATCTCTGTGAAGGAGGGGCTCGCCACTGTTTGGTCGTTTCATTGCCAGTGGTCTAGCCCTGGCAGTGGGGACTCCGACCTGGCGGGACTTTGGGGAGTCAGATAGTGTGCCTTTCCTCAAGGAAATTTTGAGATAGTTGCCAAGGCAGGAAAACCTGTGTATGCTACCAAGTTGGCATACCTCTTAATCTGCCATTGATACAAGGGACGAGATGTCATGAGAAGGAATTACAAATTTACAAGCAGGATGAGATTTACAGTAAAGCAGCCCAGCTCTTCCTGAATTAGCTGCTATGAGTTTAGGGAAGGAGAACACTCATATTTTTGTTTTTAGCATTCTCATGAGGAAGGTGGATATTTCATGAGAGACTGGTTTAAAAAGAGACACTTTAATAATAAAGTGATTTGGCTCAGCGCCTGTGGCTCAAGCGGCTAAGGTGCCAGCCACATACACCTAAGGTGGCGGGTTCGAGTCCCCAGCCTGGGCCCGCCAAACAACGATGATGGCTGCAACCAAAAAATGGCCAGGCGTTGTGGTGGGCGCCTGTAGTCCCAGCTACTTGGGAGGCTGAGGCAGGAGACTCACTTGAGCCCAGGAGTTGGAGGTTGCTGTGAGCGTGATGCCACGGCACTCTACCCAGGGGGACAGCTTGAGGCTCCATCTCAAAAAAAAAATAATAATAAAGTGATCTTCCTGATTCCCTGGTATGTGGAGACTCAGGGAATCAGGAAGGAGGACCACTCTGGTCATTCCACAGTCTAGATCCATTGGCACCCACTTCCCAAATCTTACCAAGGTGCATCCGAGATGGTAAGTCAGAAGATTCTCTTCCTGTAGCCTCTGCCCTCCAACTCTAACCTGCAAAGAGGGGTCACATGCTGGGGAACACCAGACCAATTTGTCAGTGCAGAGGCTTGGGGTGCGACGATTGTTTTGAGAGAGAATAGGACAAGATCGTCAAGATGAGGGAAGACCCTGTATTACCAGCCGAAATCAGACTCTGATGCTTTTAAGTCAAAGACAACAGCTTACCCAGCTCCATCTTCCTTTTGATCAAGGTCTATCTGAAACCTCCTGCTCCAAGGGAAGCTCCGTCTGCAGCTATTTGTGTTTCTCTTGGAATCCGAGGGGAGAGGCTCACCCACTTGGCCGGTGGGAGTGTCACAGGTCATGCTGCACCTGCTGCACGGCCATGCTTGTTACGTGACAGTGATATTCTGGGGAATCTCCTGGAGAGAAACTTGGCTTTTGCCCACTTGAGGTGGAAGAAGACGTCAGAATAGGCGGGGAAATTTCTTTGAGAGGGTCTGATTATTTACGAGAGGGACAATACAGAGTAAGAGTCATGATCACTGTGGGATTTGTTGAAAAATAAGTTGTAACTCTTTTACCTCATTTGCAAAAGGACTATGTTGTTGCTAGAATTTTTCTTTTTTATCGTTGATAATAAAGTAGACAAATCCTGTGATATTGTATTGAGCATGGGTTTCATTCCAAACAAAGTTAACAGTGGCAGAGATGAGCCAAAGGTGAGAAGGGGTGATGGAAATGAGGAGAAGAAAGATTATGGATTAAATCTTTAAAAACTCATTCATTCATTCAGTAAATATCCAGTGAATTCACTCAATAAGTAGTCATTCAGTAATTATCTATTTGATAAGTACTACGTATCCATCAAATTTTAGCCATTGTGGCGCTTACTTGAGTTTTTGAATGCATGTATATTTGCCTTAAAGCATACCAAACAATGGTGTTTCCTAATACTTTTATTTTTCACATATGTGATCATTACAAAAGTTTTGAGACAGACTGTGTTGTGGTCCATTATTTCACTTACAAGAAACACAGTTGACAGTGTCCTTTCTGACTCATCCGTGCAACTTTCAACTTATGTGGCTTATGGGTGTTGCTGGAAGAGTTTTATCTATTATGTCTGCATGGATTTTATGTTTCTTAAGTTTAGTGTATCTCAGAACTTTCATAGTGAGCTGCATATGGCAAGAAGCAGCCTGAAGTGAGCTCCAGGCCAGAAGTCATACAACTTTGGATCTGGTCTTTTAAGTGTATGCTTGGGGTGGGGCAAGCAACACAGCCTCCCTGACTATCGAATGGCTATACAGACAGACAAACAAGCAAACAAGCAAGAAAAGGAAGCCTCTGTCCTGTTCCACCAGCAGAGTTACTTTGGACATCATTGAATTCATCCAGTGGATTTCGGGTGAGGAATACACAGCATTATACATGTGAAGGGATTGAAAGATAACCATCTGCTATTTTTGACAGGCCCGCAAGTACATCACGGACTCTATGGGAGAAAAATATGCAGAAGGTGTCATCCTGGACTTGGAAAAGACGTGGGAGGAATCTGATCCACGGACCCCGCTTATCTGTCTCCTGTCTATGGGCTCAGACCCCACGGATTCCATCATCGCTTTGGGGAAGAGATTAAAAATAGAGACCCATTATGTGTCCATGGGCCAGGGCCAGGAAGTCCACGCTCGGAAGCTCTTGCAGCAAATGATGGCAAATGTAAGGCAAATGTCCGCACTGTGCTGTTGATACTATGTTAGGGGAGGGCAGTGCAGAGAAAAGGAGTTATGAATTGCCGGGGGGGTTACGTGTATGTGCTGCCTACCATTTACCGAACAGGGAAAGGTATGAGGTCTTTTAGAAAATCTTCATGGAGAAACAGATACAAATTTAAAACTTTTTATGCTGAACCTTGACCTCTATGGAAAACTTATCCAGCAAGGACATCTTATTTCTCAACCAATTTGTATAATATAGATACTGCTATATTAGGATAAAAGCTACGTTAACAAGGTCTTTGTTAATTTCAAATTCAAAAGAAATAATGATGTAATTAGTAATCATAATTTCAAGCAGGTAAATTTTTAACAACTTAAATGGATCACTACTAACCTTCATTTTATCCATGTTTCCTGTTAAGTAGTTTAACTTTCAGTAAAATATTTTTTTTATTATTATTAGCATGCTCATGACTTTTAAAAAATTGTTTTAAAAAATTTCTGTCAAAATGGTTATATGAAAAGTTTGGACGCAATATGGCAGAACGAACCATCTACCTAAGAAAAATGGAAGATCTCTCAGTAAGATGAAAACAGAACATTGAATACAGAGTATGGGCAATCCCAATGAAAGAACATGGCTAAAAGATTCCTAAGTTTTCAGCTACGAAATTTAGATCAGGATTCACCTCTAGCTAGATAAAGGAAAACAACCAAAGCCTTCCCGTTGTTCTTATGTTTTGTATTTAATTTCTTCTTTGTCTTGAATTATAGACAGTGTCAGTTGAAATTTTTTTAAAGGCAAAAATCTAGAGGTGTTATTAAGCAGTACTGTATAATTTCTGAAGAAAATATAAGGAAATATGTGAACTTGAATTATAGACAGTGTCCGTTGAAATTTTTTAAAAGGCAAAAATCTAGACAAGTTATTAAGCAGTACTGTATAATTTCTGAAGAAAATATAGGGGAATATGTGAACTCCTTAGATGACCAGTTTTATATGTATTTTAGATCTGGTGCTCAGTTTGTTTTTTTGGAAAAGGAAATAACTCAAGCTACCCTAGTCAGTGATCCAAAGCCAGTTATAATAAAACCCCTCAAGATTGTAATCTGGACATTGTAGACGATTCTAGCAAAAATATTCTGTAGATTAGATATTGAGGAAATTTTTGTTGTTTGACCCCAAATTTTGCTTGGGCTGCTTTACATAAAGAATCTTCTTATAGAATAGTATATGCAAAATACATGCTTTATTATTCTCTAAGGCTCTTCCCCTTAGCGTGGTCAGAGTTTCAGGAAAGGTTCATCCACGTTCTAAAGGAGGTGGGCCTGGCTGCCAGGATTTTGAAAACTAGTGGGAGAAGGGAGGTGGCAGGTCTCACACTTCAGCAGGCAGGTTCTCCCACCCACATTTGGTGTGGTACCCGGTCCCTTAATGGGCCGAGGGTCTCCAGTCCAGACCCTGCCTATTTTGTCTTCTAAAGAAAATCAATTTCCTTTATTATTAGTGGAAGCGAGAGCATGTTGGGGGTAGACTTTCAATTTTCCTCTTGTAGCCGATCTTTTCCCTCTACTTCCAGGGGTACCTTGTGCCACCATTTCTTGAGACTTTTGGGAGTCACATGATACGAATCAGGTTGTAGCTCAGCTTTCGCTCGGAGCCAGTTTAGGATTCAGCTTTCTCGAGTCAATTTTAAATGCTGTCGATTTGTCTCCACCCCCACTGTTTTCTCCATAAGAGTTCATTGACCTCCTTCCCCCCCAGATTCCTTCATTGAAGTTTTAATAGAATTTTAGGGAGGGGGATGAGTTAAAAGTATGTTTTCAACCAATAATTTTTATCTTGAGGAATTTTTAAAAAATGTTTTGCTTTGGTTATTTTCATGGCAGCTACCATGCAGTATTATTACAATTGGTGTGTTTGTCTACTGTGGGAACAATGCCCAGACCAGGAAAAAAATACAGCTTATCTCAGTTAAACATTAGTGTATCCTTCCATTTGGCCTAGATTTAATTTAAAGAAATTTAAGTCATTTTTATTAAATTCTAGTTACTTAATTTCTAATGAATATAGTAATTTAAATTTCTGGGTAGAATACAAAATCAGCTCATTCCCATTTACTGTTGCTGACTTAGGGAGGGTGGGCGCTTCTGCAGAACTGTCATCTGGGGCTTGACTTCATGGACGAGCTAATGGACATAATTACAGAAAGTGAGACCGTGCGTGACGTGTTCCGCCTTTGGATGACCACCGAGGTTCACCAGCACTTTCCCATCACACTCCTTCAGATGTCCATTAAATTCGCCAATGAGCCTCCACAGGGCCTCCGGGCAGGGCTGAAAAGAACATACGGCGGTGAGTCTACAGGAGTTTTTCATACTTACATTATTTTCTTAAAGAGATCATAAAAAGCAGAATTAGATAGCAGACAGTTACACCAAGAAGTACTGTTATTCAAACTGATGGAGGCATGGTGGCCCCCTTTGGTCTCGTTCCCAGTGGAATATGCCCTGGTAGGGTGAGGGAGTCAGAGTTCAGGTTCCCTACCTTCTATTTTTCTATTTCCCCTAAGTATTGCTCTGCTTAAGGCTATGCTTGTCTCTAGCTAGACATCTACCTTTAGATGTCAACATAAAAACTGAACACTTCTGTCATTTCCGGTCTTTATGCTCCAGACCTATAGTGGTGCAGGAGCCTCTCCCATGAGCAGAGTCTAAGTTAAAATGATGGTCTGTCTGCCTTCTTTTCATTAGGGCCACGGGTAGGGACATGAGCGAAGTTAAAGCTCAAATAGCAGCAAAAACAAACAAAAATGGCTTTGCAATCACAACTGACACTGAGATTGTTCTCTCTGCTTTGACTTCTCCTCTGTTGTAGCTTTGTGTCTGGGACTTGGGGTCAGGGAAAGAGTGGGAAGGTTGGAGTCAGGAATCCTGATTATCAACCTTCCTGGTGACAAAACCTTTGTTCTTCCGAGTCCTAGTCACAGAAATAACCCGAGTTTCAATATTCTCATATGTAAAATAGGGCCAATAAAACTTTTGCGAGAGGATTGAAATAATTTGTAACTAAAACAGTTTGTTTTGTAATCTGGTAATAAGAAATATAATTATTGTATTTCAATCTGAAAAAATCTGAAGACAGTTTGGGGGGAGCTGCTAACAAGGTTCACATTCTTGCCCATCTATAAGATAAAATAAACATGGAAGGATAATGGCAGTAAAACATAAATCATATAATATATAATTATATATACAACATAATATATAAATATATAATAATGATTATTTGGGGCATGTAGTCAGATTGCAGTGGGCTCTTCTATGTATGCCATTTTAATTAACATTAAATTAGTTAAAAGAATATGTCCCAAATAATAGTATAATAGTAATTATTATTAGTAGTATTTTAACTACCATTATCCTTCTATCCAATTCCATTCCCACCTTATCTTGCTAGATTGGCAAGAACTTGTTAGAAAACTCTTTTCCTGCCCCCAAATCCCTTTGAAGAACTTTGAGAGAGAAGTAACCTCTGGATGCGCAAAAGTTAAATTATAATTGTCATGTGAATATAGTAAAAATAAGTGAAGTTTAATATCAGGCATTTACAAAAGATATTACTTATAAAATTATTACAAAATAAAGACATTTGAGAGATGATACATTTTTAACCTGACTGACCACGACAGGTGTGAGCCAAGACCTGCTGGACGTGAGCTCCGGGGCCCAGTGGAAGCCCATGCTCTACGCTGTGGCCTTCCTGCACTCCACTGTCCAGGAAAGGCGCAAGTTTGGCCCCCTGGGGTGGAACATCCCCTATGAGTTTAATCAAGCGGACTTTAACGCCACAGTGCAGTTCATCCAAAACCACCTGGATGACATGGATCTCAAAAAGGTACCGCTGTGCACGCCTCCTGCGCCCGTGGTGTGGGCGTGGGCTGTTGAGCTTCACTTAGGGAGCTAACCATCCAAGGGTGAGGATTTGCTGTGCTTGAGAGTCATCTTCAAGTCCTAGCCATTTGGGGCATACCTGCTTCTTGATTTCAGGAAAGAAAAAGGGAAAATTTTGATTATCCTTTTATTTCTCAAAGGAGAGTTCACATTTCAGATATGCAACCAAAAAAACAAACAAACAAACAAACAAACCTGTTGTGGGGGGTATGGGTGGAGAAATTTGTTTTTAAGAATATTACAAATTAAAAATGAGAGCTTAGATTGTGTTTGAAGTATGTGTTTTCTTCAAGAACTACTTCACTATTATCAAAAAGTGAACTTTTTTCTCTTACTATTGAAGTGTGAAACATGAAGAGAATCTGTCTCCGGTCATGGACACGAGCTTTGCGTAACTCTTCGTCTGCCTGTTTACTTTTCCTTCTACCCTTTCTCTTCACATTCCTGATGAAGAGGGACTGACTGAATGGCATGCGCAAACATGAATGGATGCATGTTACTTGGCAGGGAAAATAACTAGGAGACAGTGATCAGTTCTCCATAAGCACTCCATGATTTTTCCCAGGGCGTCTCCTGGACCACTGTTCGCTACATGATAGGAGAGATTCAGTATGGAGGTCGGGTCACTGATGACTATGATAAGAGACTGTTGAACACGTTTGCTAAGGTTTGGTTCGGTGAAAACATGATTGGACCCGATTTCCATTTTTACCAAGGGTACAATATTCCAAAATGCAGCACAGTGGACAACTATCTTCAATATATCCAGGTGTGTCAACTTCAGAATTTTATGCATAGAGCAAATATCTGTAGTCATTTGACCTTTTTGATATTTATTTACACTTCATATACTGTTCTTAAATTGTTAATGCTGATCTATACTAAAGCTTCTGCTATAGACACTTTCTTCATTTTTTTATATGCACCTGATGATTGAAACACTTATATTTATTCTGAGTGTGCTTTGTGTGAATTCTTTCTCCATCCTCCTTCTCTTTTAATGCTTCAGGGAGCAGTTTTCTTTAGGGAGATGACAGATGAGGCAGATTTAGAACCAGGAGATCTACATAAATCACCAAGGGTTCTCTGCCAGTGGGAGATCTCAGCTACCACAGAGCCTGGGGCAAAGGCACCGTCTAGACTCAATCTCCTCCTTTATTCCCTCCCATTGACTAATCTTGTTATGTCTATTCCTTAACCCTGCTCTAATGAACAGTGGTACGGATAGGTCCAGGAACCGTCTTTGTGTGTGAAAGCTTCCTGTAAGACAGAGTTTCTCCACGTCAGCACTCTTGACATCTGGGGTGGGATGCATCTCATAGGCTGTGAGGTTGGCCTATGCATCGTTGGATGTCTGTGGCGTCCCTGTCCTCTACCTACTGAGGCCATTATAGCCTCTGCCCAGCTGTGAGAACCAAAAGTGTCTCCCGACATTGCCCGGTGTCCACTGAAGGGCAAGGCTGTCCCCAGTTGAGAAACATTTCTCTAAGAAGGGGGATTTTGACAGGAAATTTGGGACTAGGTAGAGAAAAGAAATCTGATTTTCAGGGCAACTGTACTTTCTGTCTCTGTCCCCCGAATTCATTAGAACATTATTTAGCAGTGTCTTTGGTCTCTACCTACAATTTATCTCCGAGTAAACAAACTAAAGCACAAGGGCCCCCAAAGGCTAAATTTATCAGTATATTTATGGTTTTTTTGATATATAAATGTAACGAGTTTATCGTATATTACTACCTCTACATTTTTATTCATTTAAATAAATAAATTTATTTGTTTTGCTGTACTGCACTTGTCTTTAAATCATCAGCAGTGAATGGGCAATGTGCCTATGAAAGTATAAATTTAGGGGTGCCAGAGCATGCATTTTTGTATACTCCTCATTTCATAGTGCATTTGAGGTAACTCATAAAAAGACATAAATAAAGGAGGAGAAAGGTGGGAAAATATGAATATGCCAATAATTCAGTACAAGACTCACACATGTCAAAGTATAGGTCAATTTGCCTTTATGTAAATGGTTGGGGAGGTTTTGGCCTGCTTGATCTGCATCTGGCTGTCTCTCACGCTCCATCTCTCTCCCTCTGTTTTTCTCTTTGATTGTGTTGCTCACTCAATATTTCTCTCTTTTTCTAGTCTCTGTCTCTTTCCCTGGGAGAGTACAACTCCCGCCTGCAGCCTTATTTGGGCCATGATTACTAGAACCGTCATTTCCTGGCATCTTATAAACATAATAACCATTAGTTATACAACATTTATTTAAACAACTGGTTTGAATGAGATTAGTCTATCAGAAAACAAAATACCAATCCACAGCTCCCTTTCTGCTTCACATGTCATAAAACGAGACAGTATTTCTTTGATTCAATTTTGCTTGAGGTGTAGACTTTAAAGAATCATGAGCCTGTTTTTATGTTTCTTAATGTTAATTTCTTTTCCAAGGCACCTTTTGATTCTTTTCTGCTGGAATTGTTTAAGTTTGTAGTCTAACACAAATAAGACATATCCTAATAAAAGCACTTTTACTTCCTAAGACAGTCTAATTTAACATGTGCTTATCTGGGGTGTTTGTTGTTCAGAGCTTGCCTGCCTACGACAGCCCCGAGGTGTTTGGGCTGCACCCCAATGCTGACATCACCTACCAGAGCAAGCTGGCCAAGGACGTGCTGGACGCCATCCTTGGCATTCAGCCCAAGGACAGCTCTGGTATAGGGACTGAGACCCGGGAGGCTGTCGTGGCTCGACTGGCCGATGATATGTTGGAGAAGCTGCCCCCAGACTACAGCCCCTTTGAAGTGAGTTGATAAAATCCTGACAAAGTGTCTGTCTATATGGGGGTGTGAGGAAGATGACAGGAGAGCAAAATTAATCTTTCTGAAATTAAAAAAAATATTCATTTACAAAACTAGCTTCTTAAGAAATCAGGAAAAAGTTTTTGAATCTATGAACGTGTTTTGAAATATAAATAATAAAGAAACTTGTTAAAAATGTTAATATTTATTTGCCAAAAGTAAACTAGCTAAACCATTGTCATTCCACCTTGCACAGCTTATTTCTCTGTTTTTCCCTCTTTCTGGGGGTGTTTTTCCTTGCCAAGAACGGGGTCTTGGGTCTTCATTTGCCCACATTTATTATTAATTTATAATCATATACTGATGCATTAGGATTGCTTTTCTAGAATCTTCCCCAAGGTACTTTATATTGTCACTTCTTCAAAGGAAATCCATATATTTTTAGAATAATACATCTGACTATTTAAAAAATTCATATTGTGGAGTTTAATGGACACCTTAAAATTCAGGCCTTCTTAATTTCAAGGGGTCTGTATTTATACCATTACCTCTCTGAAGCTTCTTTATCTCATTCATTTTGAAAATTGGTATATTTTAGTGTATAAGTAGTTTCTAACAAAATGTATGATTATTAAAGTTAATATTTTAGACATTTTAATATTACAAAAAGATTGATGATACTGTTTAAAAAAAAATCTTTGATGAAACCAAAAGTAAGGGGCTTATATTCCATGTTGTCTTAAGCAGTGACCAGACAGTTGCTTGGCACTTTTGGCACAGAGCCACCATCTTCCCTTGTACATCATCCCTTTCCCACTTGGTTTTCAAATGGAATCCTGTAGAATTTGTTTGTTTTTCTTTTCACTCTATTGTTTCCTACTTAGGAGGCAATTTTGGCTGCTGATACTACAGTCAATCTCTAGGACCTGTCATCAAGGGAATAATTTTCCTGAAATAATTTTTGAAAAAATAATACTTCATTTTATATGGAATCAGAAAAAAACCTTGAATAGCCAGTACATTACTTAGAAATAAAAACAAATCAGGAGGCATCATGTTACCAGACTTTAAATTAAACTACAAATCTATAGCGATTAAAACAGCATGGTACTGGTGCAAAAACAGAGACATAGATATATGGATCAGAATGGAGAATCTAGAGATGGTTCTTTAGAATCCCAGCCACATATTGGCATTTGATCTTTGATAAGCCAATCAAATCATTCCCTGGGGGAGAAGATTCCCTATTTAATAAATGGTGCTGGGTGAACTGGCTGGCAACCTGTAGAAGACTGAAGCTGGACCCTCACCTTTCGCTGCCAACAAAAATGGATTCTTACTAGAGAAAAGGTTTAAATTTAAGACATGAAACTATAAAAACTAGAAGAGAGTGCAGAGAAAATGCTTGAAGATACTGCCCTGGGAAGATATTTTATGAGGAGGATCCCCGTGGCAATTGAAGCCATACCAAAAATACATTAATAGGGTCTGATCAAGCTAAAAAGTGTCTGCACAGCTAAGGACACTGCAAGTAAAGCAAACAGACAGCCTTCAGAATGGGAGAAGATTTTTGCAAGTTATGCTTCCAATAAAGTAGGAACTTTGATAACTAGAATCTACAGAGAACTCAATCAATAAGAAAAGAACAGACAACCCCATTTCTTTGTGGGCAAGAGACTTGAACAGAAACCTCTGTTAAGATGGCAGGTGAATGGCCAACAACACATGAAAAAGTGTTCATCATCTTTAATCATCAGAGAAATGCAAATCAAAACTACTGTGAAATATCACCTAACTCCAGGAAGATTAGCCCATATTATTAAATCCCCAAACTGCAGATGTTGACATGGATGTGGAGAGAAGGGGACACCTTTACACTGCTGGTGGAATTGCAAACTAATACAGCCTTTTTGGAAAGCATGGAGAATTCTCAAGGAACTAAAAATTGACCTACTGTTTGATCCTGCAATTCGATTACTAGGTTATTTACCCAGGTGAACAAAAATCATTTTACAACAAAGACATTTGCACCAAAGTGTTTATTGCATTCCAGTTCACAATAGCCATGTCATGGAAGCAGCCTAAATGTCCATTAACCCGCAAATGGATAAACAAACTGGTAGATGCATACCATGCAGCCATAAAGGAGAGGGAGAGGGAGATTTTACATCTTTTATGTTTACCTGGATGGAGCCGGAACATATTCTTCTTAGTAAAGTATCTCAAGAATGGAAAAAAAAGTATCCAATATGCTCAATACTATTATGAAATCAATATATAAATACACATTCATATGAATGATAAAACACTAATATAGTCCACAAAGAAGGAGAGGAGAGGAAGGAGAGGGAGGGAAGGGGGAAGGGAAAGTGCAGGAAGGGTATTTGGTGAGATCTCACTTAATGTACTCAATGCAAGGGTACATTTCAAAACAACTAAGAGTATATTATAAATGTCTTACCACAAAAAAGAATTAAGTGCAGTGATAGTTATGTTAATCAGTTTGATTTAAGCATTCCACATTGAGTATCACATTACCACGTTGTACCCCATAAGTGTATAAAGTTATGATTTAATAAAAATTAAGTTAAAAAAATAAAGAGAAGAATCTCTGATCACTAGCTTGGAGAAAATCAGTACTGTTATCAGCTTTCATAAACACTTCATTGTAGGATCAGGGAAGAGGTCATTTGCATCTTATGGGTTTAAATATTTATGAAGCTATAAAAATCTCTAAGAAAATGGAATAAAGGTTGCTTAAAAAAGACAGGAAGTAGCAGGATTTAGCAGAGTCTTCCTCCTTTTGCTGAATTTGTCAGTGCAAACTTAGGATAAAACAACTCAGTCTGATACGGTATCTGATACAAAGAGGACTCTCAACAAGTACTTGTAGGATGACACTGGCTGGTGGACTGGTAGATGTATGGTTGGATGGATGCTTTCATGGAAAAAAGAGGAAGCTGTTAAAATAGAGGTTTTTGACAATCAGTAGAATGGTTGTGTGTGTGTCCGTGTCTGCTTGTGTGTATCCGGGTGTGGCAGTGAGTGAATATTTCCCAGTGAATGCATCTGCTTTTTGGAAAACTGTGTGGGTATGGTCTGCATTTTACATTTGTCTGTGAATTAATGCCATCTGTCCTTTTCTATGTGGCATGAAAATTTGGGCTGGCCATCTAACAGCTGCTTGCTTTGTTCTTTCTGTCATTTAAAGGAAAGTTATTATTTATGGAACTGTAAGAATTTGGGCCTCCTCACCTCCATACAATCCTCAGTAGCTATCTAATTTTAATGTGTGCCTTGAATGTCTTCATGGCAGGTAAAAGAGAGGCTGCAGAAGATGGGGCCTTTCCAGCCTATGAACATTTTCCTCAGGCAAGAAATAGACAGAATGCAGAGAGTGCTCAGCCTCGTCCGAGGCACCCTGACCGAGCTAAAACTTGCGATTGATGGCACCATTATCATGAGTGAAAATCTACGAGAAGCGTTGGATTGCATGTTTGATGCCAGGATTCCGGCTTGGTGGAAAAAAGTACGTATAAGCCTGCTTTTATCCTACCTAATCACTTATTGTTGTGATGGTTGTAATTGGCAAGTGGAAAGTAAATTAGGATAATTTACTCAAAATGGTTCTTTTGCTTAGGGACTAAGCTCCTTATAGCCCCGTAGTTTTAGACTGTAAGTAGGAAATTATATAGCATATCCTACTTATCAGGTACACTGCTGGTAAATTTACATGTTATCACTTCATTGAAATTTTGCATTTTATTGCCCTGATTTTACAGATAGGGAATGTGAGGGGAGAGAAGTTAAATCTTTTACCAGGTCCCATGTCTACGAAGTCCAAGAATCAGAATTTAAACCCAGGCCCTTTGAATCCCAAGCCCGTGTTGTTAGTTTCATAGAAGGAAATGTGTCCACATACGCATATACATGAAAAGTCACCCTACAAAGAAATGTATGCCTTAACACAATAACTAAGCAAATGCGGTGAAGGCTATGTTAACCAGTTTAATGAAAGTATTTCAAGTTATATATAAAACCAGCACATTGTACCCCATAACTGCATTAATGTACACAGCTATGATTTAATTAAAAAAAAAAAGAAAAATATGGTCCTGTTATGTCTAGAAATACAGTGTGTAGTATGTGTATCTCAAAGGAATAACATAATTTAATAGCATCCATACTGATTACCTGTTGGTCATTGTGCCAAAGACAGAGTTTTAAGGAATAAATTTTTACTTGGACAAATAAAAGCAGTTTCTGAGTGTCTTTATAAAGTAGAAAAATAAGTGTATTTTAGGAGAGATCACTCGATGTGATGGAGCCTACATGAAGTTCTCTTTGTGCTGTACATTTTGTGGGGCGATGTGAGATTGTGAATATTAATTATGGTGGAGAAAATGCATGGGAAAAGAGGGAATGGTATTACTGTCCTTTAGAACACATTTCCTGGGAGAATCTGGATCTGCCACCTGGTTTCCTCTCCCTCTGACTACTGCCATCATCTGGGTGATCCGACTCCACAGCATGAACCCATCAGGTGCTGGCCCCATGGCTCACTCTCCCAGCGTCCCTGCTCCGAGATTTGACGTCTGGTCTACTTTACAGTGCATATGCCCTGCTGTACCTGATGGCTAGAAGGAGGAGGAAAGTAGGACATAAATGCAGATACAGGAATGTGACAGGATTTACTCCTTTACAGTTTGAAGTTATGAATGTCAATGAAACTATGGAAGGAATCTAGGAATAGAAAAAACAAAACCTGCTCCTCCCGACAGGATAGTGTTTGAGGATGGTAAGATTTAAAGTGACAGTATGGAAGTAGGGGAATCAAATGGAATGGACATTAGGATCATTAGAGAGCAGAGGTCATTAGATAAGAAAGCATGATGTTAAGTGGGTCATTCACAAGGATTCTGAAGTTACCTGAAATGATTACTAAAAGTAAATAAAGGCAGCATATGGGTTGTATGAACTTAACTCTGGGCCAGAACATCTGGGTTCAAACCATCTATCTTTTGAGCCGTGTAACTAGGCTAAGCTAGTGGCTTGCTGTCCCTCAATTTCCATATCTGTACAGTGGATTAATAGCACTATGTAATTCTCATCTTCTTGTGAGGATTAAATGAATTTATATATCTAAAGTGCTTAGAACAGTGCCTTAGAATATGGCCAATGCTATGGAAGGGCTTAGTATTATTATTAGTAAAGCACACCAGTACCACCGTCACCATCACCACACACCATAACTACCTTTACTATCAGTACCACCACCACCTGCACTCTACCTCCATCACCACCATGCACCACCATCACCTCTACCAACATCACTACCACCATTACCTCCACCACTGATACCATCACTAGTCACCACCATCATCACCATCATATCTGCCAACAACACCATCACAATGATTGCCACCATCTCTACCTCCATCTTTAGCACCACCATCACTTCCACCCACCATCATCACCACCAACACCAAATGACCACTGTCACCTTCATCACTACCTCCACCACCATGTCATCCACCACCACCATCACTACCACCTCACCTTCACCACCAGCCCTGCCTCTACCACTACCTCCACCTCCTCCACCACCATCACTATCATCTCCACTGTCATCACCACCACCATCACTACCACCTCCCCATCACCATCACCACCAACACTGCCTCTACCACTACCTCCACCATCACCGTCACCTCCACTGTCATCATCACCACCATCACTACCACCTCACCATCACCACCAACACTGCCTCTACCTCCACCATCACTGTCACCTCCACTGTCATCATCACCACCATCACTACCATCACCACTACCATTACCATAGCTATCATCCTCATGATTATTTGGGGGTTGAGTGGAACTCAACCAGAAGCCAAGTTCCTTGATGAATGAGAGGAAGTGAGCAATCGGTGACAGAAAGCTGAAGGGCTAGGGAGTTACGTCCACATGGCATGAGACTCAAAGGAAGACGATGGTACCAAATGATGATCTGAAAATCACAGTCAGAAATGACAAGAACATCTACTCCTGTGGTTCTGAGGGAGATGGGGAGTGAGGAGAGCAGCAGCCTGCATTTTGAGAAGGCTGCATAGGAGGTAGTGTGTGCTGGGCGGACAGACTTCAGTTAAAAGAGGGATAGAGGGAATGTTCAGGAAAGAAATGGAAGATCTAGAGGAGTCTTCTGGCTGTGGCACTGAAGATGCTGAAGAGTCAGTGGGAAGGCTTCAGAGACTAGAGGGCTTGGTTTACGTCAGATGGAGGGAGTCAGGGGGAGGGCAGCATGTAGCAGTGAGACTGCGGGGTGGGGAGGCTCAGCCTTCTGTAGGCCTGCTGGCTAAAGGAGAAGGTCGTAGGACTTGTTTAGTGCTAAGATATCTCATCCCAGCCTTTGGCAGAGTCCAGGGCAGTGAATGCTTCAGGCAGCACAGAGGAGGTAGGGCTTCCTGTCATCCTCTCCCTCTTTTTGTGATACCACTGTCCATCCCTTCAACCACGTGGCTTACAAACTTAGAGACAGCTTTCACTAGACTCCTTTATTTCCTTCTCACATTCAATAAATTAATTATCAAGAACAGGGAGTTTTCTTTTTTTTTTTTTTTTTTTTTTTTAAGATTTTCTTTACTATGAAGAGTTCCTGGCTTTGGGCACTGTTGGGAACAGAACACAGGGAATAGTATTTTCAACAGCTTTCAAGATAAAGTTGAACTGGATTTGGTAAATTTTGTTAAGCATATGTACAGATGGTGTACCTTCCATGACAGGGAAATAAGAAGGTTTATTTATTTATTTTTTTATTATTAAATCATAGCTGTGCACATTAATGCAGTTATGGAATACAATATGCTGGTTTTATATACAATTTGAAATATTTTCATCAAACTGGTTAACATAGCCTTCATGGCATTTTTCTTAGCTATTGTGTTAAGACATTTATATTCTACATTTAGTAAGTTTCGCATGTACCCTTGTAAGATGCACTGTAGGTGTGGTCCCACCAATTACCCTCCCTCCACCCATCCTCACCCCTCCCCTCCCCTCCCTTTCCCCTTCTCCCATATTCTTGGGCTATAATTGGGCTAAATTAGTTTCATAGTAGGGCTGAGTACATTGGATACTTTTTCTTCCATTTTTGAGATACTTTGCTAAGAACAATATGTTCCAGCTGCATCCATATAAACATGAAGGAAGTAAAGTCTCCATCTTTCTTTAAGGCTGCATGATATTCCATGGTGTACATATACCACAATTTATTGATCCATTCATGGGTCCATGGACACTTGGGCTTCTTCCATGACTTAGCAATTATGAATCGGGCTGCAATAAACATTCTGGTACAAATATCTTTGTTATAATGTGATTTTTGGTCTTCTGGATATATACCTAGTAGAGGAATTATAGGATCCAATGGCATAAAGGTTTTATTGCACAGATAAAATATTAACAGATCCAGATGCTCTCATTTCTTTTCAATGTATCTTGCATCAGCAGAATCTCTGTGCTAAAGCTACTATCTTAAAGGACACTTTGCAACAGATTATAAGTATTAACTATAATCATGCAAATACAACATTACCCATTTTGTAAATGCTACAATTGATCTATGAGATATTTAGTGTGGCTTTGCCTTCTCGTTCTAAAGGGTGTTGGCTCTTGCAGGAAAAGGTGTTAGCCAAAATTTTATCTCTGCGAGCATAAATTTTAGGAAGAACAGAATCAACCATGTGAATTATCAAAAGAAGATTTCTATAGGAATTCAGCATTTCTGGGTGATATCATATCAAATCAAAATGATTTGAATGTATCTTTACAAGGTAAAACAAGGCCTATATCTGCTATGTGGCAAAATTTCCAAACATTTT